CTGGAAACATCATAAGATGAAACCTACCACGAACATGCTTCATAACTCATGCAACTTTACAAAACTCACCTAGTGATCTAGATGTGGTAGAGTTGAGTTAGAAGTGAGTTACCTTGAATGTCTAGACTGCATGAAACACACAAATTTCAACCAAGAGTGAGCTTCTCATTCCCCTTAGCTTTGGAGCTTTCTCCAACTTCTCTTACTAAGCAAGAAATCAAAGCAAGGGTTACTAATGTTGTTGGGAAGCTTAAAGGAGAATTTAAAATTTTTCTAGAGCTCTGAATCTTCCCAAAAAAAACTGAAATCACTTAGGTTTCTAAAACCTCCACTAAACCCTTATTTTGGGAACCAAGGTGGAATGAAGGGATTGTGGTCCTAATTTGAAGCTATCAAGATGGAGATTATGAATCTTACCTTTAGAAATCTAACTAGAGTTGTAAGGTCGCCAAGATTGGAGATCTCATGTTCTATTCTCCTTTTACCTAAATGATTGGGAAGAAAAAAAATGAGAATAGAACATGAGATCACCAATCTTAATTGATTTTTAGCATTTTAAAAATAAAAAGGTATAATTATTCCTTTGGTCATTACACTTTTGGTCAACTCTCACAATCCTCTTTTTTAATAACTATTTGGCTCAAATCAAGCCTAATTCAACTTCAATTTGAGTCAACACTTCCCAAAAGCTAAGAGACTTATTCAAGGTCCATCTTGGGTTAGCCCAAAACTCTTAACCTAATATCCTGGGTGTTACAAAGAACATGCGCATGGAAACACATTTGATATGTAGAGCTCACAAGCTCAATGCGACATAAATAACCCTACTTTACTACATACATCCAACATATAAGCATGTTACAAGTATGGTTATGAACATTTGTATACATTATCACAATAATAAGAGTAAGCATCATGGTATAGCTCGGGCTCACTTAACATCACAAAACTCATGCCCATCTTTGCTTACTAAAGAACCTTAGGCGAGACCTAGGTCACACAACATCAACGTCTCCCTACAATTCGAGCTGAGTTCAGGTCACATAACATTGGAAGCTCACTCGGCTAGTCAACTCCTCTAGATTACTCAGGATTTGCCTGAGTCACTTACCATAGGTGCAACATCCAACTAGCAATTTAAAGTGCACAATCACTAGTTTGAATATATTCGAATAATACTTAACTCAACTATACCAACATCGTACACAAGTAACTCAGGTGTCATCAATGTTTCCCGAGAATCAATCAAGATAAGTCTTATGGAATCTTACCTCATTAAGATCTTAGGTTATCACACAATTCATTAAGGTGTTCTGCTTGTAAGCTTTTAGAAGGTTTTCTACACCAAACTCTTTGGTTTCATCTCTCTAACCTCAGCTAGGCTTATGGCCTAAATAATCACGATGGTATTGATAATCTTCTTTAGGTATCGGTACTCCCTTATTGTGGTATCGATACATCCCTGAGTATCGGTACCAAAATTACATTCGATATTTTAGAAAATATCTCAGCATCGATACTCTCCTGAGGGTATCGATACTCCCTTGAGTACTGATGCCAAAATTACTTTCGATATTTTGAAAAATTCCAGAGTATCGATACCCCTATGGGGAGTGTCGATGCTTCTATGAGTACCGATACCAAAGTTGATTTCAATGTTTTTTATCAAGACCATAAGTATCGATACTAGGTTCCTAGTATCAATTCCACATAAGAAGTGTTGATGCTCTCCTCATAAACCTTTTGAATTTTGTCCTTACACTGTTGGTAGTATCGATACTATTCTTATAGTATTGATACCCTCTATCTAGAACACTCTATTTCACTCGTCTAAAAAACTTCAATTCATTCCTAAAGTGTCTTCAAGGCTCCCAAATGGTGTTTGAAGATTATTTAGTACATAAGGAACATGAAAAGTCACTACTTTATGCATGAACAATAACAAATTCTCATTTTTCATGTTTTAAACCCCAAATGTACCCAAATACTTCATAGACTCATGCAAGCACCAAAACTACACATGTTAATCTACAAGCAATAAGGGAAAATTATAAGTGTCTTACCTTTCATCCAAAGCTTCTCCTTATAGCCTTTGAAGTTCTCTCCCACCTCTTTCACTAGTTAGAAGTAAAAGAATGAGTTACTAAATCATCTAGGGGCTTATGAAGATTAAATACATGGTTCCAAAACTCTAAAAATATATTGAGAGCATTAAGAACTCTAAAAATCAAAACCCATCTTAAACATCCACTTATGGTTTTTCATGGTCAAAAGTTAAAAGAATGAGTTTATGAGGAAACTAGAAAGGTGGTGACTCTATTACTTACCTCAAGTTTTCAAAATGGAGAAGAAGGATTCACAAAGATATCATATTTGCTCCACAACAAGAGAGAAGAATGAAGAATAAAAGTGAAGAAGGAGACAAAGATGGGATGAAAATGAGAATCTTACTTTTCCTTGTTTCTTCCCGGGTGACATCACAAAAATTGAATGGGATTTCAACTTTTAAAACATTTAGGTATTAATTGATCTCCTAATCCTCCTCCTTTCATGCTCAAGATAAAAAGACTATTTTTAATCCTTGATGGGCTCAAGCCCAAACTATAACAAACCAAACTTTAACCCAACACTTCTAACTTGTTCATTGGTCTAAATAAAACCCACCTAGGTTTACCTGAAACTACTAATCTGAGAAATGGGGTGTTACATAGTTGAGTGATGAATGATGTAACTTGCCAATAAAAATACAATGATGTTAAGTTTTTAACGTCGATGTACAAAAATGAAACAAAAAACTAAACATTAGGTATGATTTTGAAAATTTGAAAGTTTAAGTACTAAAATGGACTAGAACTTATAGCTTAGGTACTAAATACGTACTTCACCCAAACAAATAATAAGTTTAAATATTTTAAAGGACCTATAATACTTTAAAAATTAAAATATAGTTCAAGTATTTATTTTCTAAAATTTAGTTTATATAATATTTTTAGTTTGAAGCAAAAACCAAGTGGCCTTCGTGGAAAAAGTTGTTATTCCTTAAGGACTCGGGTTCGATCACCATAGATGCCAAGTGTAACACCTACAGACTGATGCGGGTGACTTGATCCGATTCGAGGTGTCACACTAGGGTCACCGGAGCGACCCACAGTAAAATTCCCAGAAAAATTTAAATTTTTTGATAAAATGTGTAAAATCATAAACAATTTATAATTAAAATACAAGTTCGAAAAACCATTCATATATTACAGAAATAATTAAAATCATACATGGTTATACTTAATCTAAAAACCAAATGTGACTTACATGCCCCCTAACTGCACTTGTACTATACTCTACAAGCAAAACCAAATGGAACTTTTTTACTGATGTCGATAGGTGTACTGGATCAATTCTTTTACCTAAAATGGAAAGTAAAAAGAGTGAGCTTTAGGAACCTCATTAATATAGAAATAACAAGTGATTCTGAAGGACATGAAGATAATGGGTAATCATAAAACTTCCTTATTGATCCAGACGTCTACAGGTTTTTGAAATGAGCAGATGGTTTCATGGATATTTCTTCGAGTAAGAGCCATGAAGATTTTAGTTCAGAGGAAACATTCAGAGAACCAGATTTAGGAGATCATAATAGGGTGTCTAGTGTGTTCTCACAAAACTAGTGAAAATGTATAGATATTTTTAAAATATTAGCATTTTAAGGCCTAACATGATCAGCCATGGAAGCTGCAGATGGGTCCCTAGCCCATCTTTTGTAAATCCACAATTTGAAGCTTTATGGGGCCAAATTGGCCCATTATGACACCTGAACAAAAAATTTAGCCCATTAAGGCACCCAAAAATTTAATTCGGGATATATGGCAAATTGAACAATCGTCGTGACGAGTTTCAGGGGATATAATTTTTTTAATGGGTCATGTCAGGTGGGCTCACAGCCGGAATAAAAAAATTATTTCTTGAGGGACTCATCACTCCAATGTGACAAGTACCAATAAAAAATATCTTTTTATTTTGTAATTATTTAAAAGTAAAGTAAAAAAATAATATATTTTATTGACATGGAACTCGTCACGCCGTGACGAGTTCCGACGGGTATAATTTTCAAATATTTAACCGTTGGATTGACCGTTGTTAGTATCGATACTTCCATTACCTTTGGTATCGATAGCCCTTTGGGTATCGGTACAATTTTTGTATTCTGGAATTTGAGCAATATTGTTAGTATTGATACTACCTTGTGAGTATCGAGACTTCCATTACCTTTGGTATCGGTACTATATGAACAGTGTCGGCACTGTGTATGAGGTATCGATACTGTCAAAATAGTATCGGTACTACGTGTACAAAAACGTATTTTGTGCTCAATTCCAAGTAAAATAAACTTTGAATTATTTTTAAAAACTTTGAAAACCTTGAACAAATTCAATTCAAGTCCAAAACAGAATGCCTTAATTGTTATATCAAAATATACTTCAACATTTTGTAACGCTTATTTTAGCGTCCAACACGATATTTTGGAAGATGTGGACAATGTTTTCTGTTATGACCTTCACCTCTACAGTGGCCACAAAGTTTTGGTTGACTTGACTCTCTTTGAGGATCATCTATATCGATATTAATTCGACTAGATTCAGGTCGACCCCGTAACTTCCTACGCAATCGAGGATTTGGCAACCATTCCTCAGAAATTGTTCATGTAGGCCAGTATGCTTTATTTAGGAGGTACTTGAAGTCACAACTATAAATGTTGTGCATATTGTTCAAGCTATAACAGTTATCAGCATATAAGTATGGTCAACATTGATGTGCATACATGCAGCAACAGCGTGAGCGCATGGGAACCTAAAAGCTTGAAATCGACCACAATCACACCATCTTTTATCCATATTACCAGTGTATGTTGTAGAATTACCTCCCTCATGTGGTCGAATTAGAGCTTGGACAACAAAATCAAAATCAAGTCTGGAAAAATTATGGACAAACATTGATGTCGTATGTGTTTAATTCTTTTGTATTGCCTTCTCTAAATCTGGAGTCCAATTTCTCCCATCGCTGATCATGGCATCAATTTGTGCACTTTTGTCTGCCCATACTTTACCCAACCTAAAGTAAGTCTCCCTAACAATACTTGCTATTGGGAGGTATCGAGTCCCTTTCAGCACTGAGTTGATACATTCAGCAAGGTTTGTAGTCATATGGTCGTAACATCGACCCTCAATATCATATGCTTGTGACCATCTCTCTCTTGGTATTTCAGCTGCGAACTCATACACATCATCTTCATATCTTCTCAAATTTTCAAGCCGTGCACGGAAGTTTGGTTGAAGTAAAGCATACCCTAAAAAACAGTAACTTAAATGTTATTAAAAAACATAAATGAAGCACAAATAATTAATGACAAATGCTAAGGTACTTACCCATATTAATAATCTTCTTTTTGATATTTTTCTGCTTAAACCTCTTTATTGCATTCGACGCAATATGACATATACAACATGCAGGATATGCGTGAGGTGACGTCCATCTATTTTTGGGTCCACTAATTGTGCTTAACAACCCAGCCGACCGATCTGCGATCATGCAAACCCCTTCTTGAGTGATAACATGGGAACGCAAGTTGGAGAGAAAGAAATTCCAAGTTTCCTCCGATTCATTTTTAACAATAGCGAAAGCAATGAGGAAAATATTTTTGTCTCCATCTTGTGCAACGATTATCATCAAGATGTGTCTGTAGAGCCCACATAGAAAAGTGCCATCGACTTGAATCATTTGTTTGCAAAATCTAAACCTTTTTATAGCTGGCTTAAACGCCTAGAACAAGCCACCAAAAATTCTCTTCCCAAGGATAATGTCTCCCTCAAGTGTGACTGCAGGTTGAGTATAATACCTAATAATGGTTCCAGGGATGAAGACCCATAGCTAACTCAGATGACTGCTCGTCTGAAGAACCCCAGTGGGCAACACATAACTCTGGCATATCAAATATTTTAGGATTCCGTATAGCAAAGTAGTTAATGTCACGCATTGCAACTGCATGATGATACCGAGGTAAATCATGATGATTGAATTTAGATTCAGGGTCTGTCTTTACCCAAACATTTGGAGCATTCTACAATCATTGACATCGTGAAACAGCTGCCTCTCATACATCCACCTCAACATCTAAACCTTGTCCCTCTAAAGCAGCCTCAACAATATCGGACTCATCAACTAATGTTGTGTCGTCATCATCTACCAAGGGAACAATGTTTACATCATCCTCGCTAAATTCAACAAGGCTTTCATCGAACCGTCCAACAAGGTTCTCATCACCATAACTTCTATGGGGTTTAGAGGGTCATGCTTCTTCTATTCTTTGAGATGGTATTGATGACGTCAAAATCTCAATTGCATTCATCGTTTCCACGTACATCTCCAACATATTATTATTTAATGATTGATGAAGTCCAAACATAACAACAACATCGTCATCATCATCAAACTAAACTTTTCCATATGTCATTGGATTTAAGGAGATCAGGTGCCGATAACTTAAACATGAAATAGAAACTCCAAGTTTTCTCTCAATTTTTTGCTTCATTTGGCGATGTGATACATCTACAGGGAATATCATATTGATCAGCCTGTCTAACTTAAACACAACACCAACATCAATTTGCAGAATTTCGCCATTATAATGGACAATTGTGAAGAATTTGTTGCTCATTGTTTGAAATGTTTTTGGTTAGATGAAATGAGTTTTTTTTGCGTAGGAGATTGAAGATGAAAGGAGTGTCTAATGTAAGAGATTGAAGATGATTTGCACAACTTAAAGGGAAGACATATTTTTTCCCGTTGGAACTAGTCACGCCGGCGTGACGAGTTCCATGTCAATAAAATATTATTTTTTTACTTTACTTTTAAAAAATTACAAAATAAAAAAATTTATTGGGACACATCACGCCGGAGTAACGAGTCCCTCAATAAATATTTTTTTTATTTTGGTTGTGAGGCCCACCTGAAATGGCCCATTAAAAAATTATATCTCATGGAACTCGTCATGCCGGCGTGACGAGTTCTATTGGGACTGTTTAATTTGTTGTAGATCCCAAATTAAATTTTTGGGTGCCCTAATGGGCTAAATATTTTGCTTGAGTGTCGTAATGGGACAATTTGGTCTCTTTATGGTTCTCCTGGAAAAACGATCGAACTGCCCGAAACTGATAAGACCGAATCCATTGAAGACCTTACTGCAGCTGTTGTTTTGATATCATCCATTTTAGTGGCCTAACCAAAGCTTCCCAAGCTATTGTTTAACCCATAAGAAGAAGAAGAACTCGTAATCTTTTATATAAAATTATGATTAAATTGATAAAACATGTACTAAATATATAATTATATCAATTTTATTAACTATCACGATAGTTTTTCGTTAAATATTAATGGTAAATGACAGTTTCTCAGTTAAGCATTAATGGTAAATGACTTGATAGAACCATTTAAACAATTAGGTGGTCAATTGACAAAATTTGGGTCAAAATGGAAAGATAAAATAGTTTAGCGGTCATATGTATAGTTTATGCAAAATATAAATATAAGAGATTATTTTTTTTATTTTTAATAGCTATCACATAAACAATTAATCATAAACTTGAAAGATAAAAAACAAGATTTTTAAATTAAAAATAAAATAAGGAGTTAATATTACAAAAATAATTTGAACAGATTTAAAGTGATTTAATATTTGTATTATATCTCACTTGGTCTGATAATAGTGTCATTATTATGATGATGAGGAGAAGAGGATATGAAATTTCTTGCGACTTTCCCGTTCCGACGGGCAAAGGCCATGCGTTTGTATTTTAGTTGTTCAAATCCAAAGGTAGCTATCATTTGTTTAATGTATATTTGTTGTACATATTCATACCTTAATGATCTAGACAAAAAAATAATGTCCTAATGATTTTCTCTGTAACGATAATCTTAAACTCTTTCTTCTTTTTTTTCTTTAAAAATAAAATTAGCGGATTTAAAAATTAAAAAGTAGATCCAAAATTTTAATACTCATTTTTTAAGAATTTGGGTATGTAAACTTTTTACTTTTCATTTTTATTAACAAATTAAACTAAATGTAACACTTGTTTAAAATAATGGATGTGCAGTGGTTTCACTAAGGATCCACATACATGATATATTTATCCTGATTTAAACGGATGAGCTTACAGAGCATGTCACATGCTAAAATACACCACTAATACAATATATCAAAAAACACTATTAAATAAATCATTTTTATTAAGTAAAAACACTATTGAAATACTAAGTGACCACTTCATGATTAATCCACTAATTTTGTAGGATAAAAATTTTAGATAGTCACTAAAATATGTTAAAATAATTAGATTCTAAATTTTCAAAAATTATATATTGGATATTGAACTTTAATTTTATTATAAAATAATATGATAATTTTTGTTGTCATTAAAGGGTGAAATGATATATAAAATTAATAAAATAATATTATTTATTCCCTGAATAAAGTTTCATTTTTGATAAATTTTCAACATTTCTAAATAATATTTTTTTTTAATATTATGGAAATTTATAATTTATTTTTTAAAATTATAAATACTTTTTAATTCATAAAATTATTTTATAGAAAATTTTATTTAATTACGATAAAATTTATAATTTATAATTTTTTAGGTCCAACCATTTCAATTTTTGTTAAGCAACATTATTCACTTATTTAAATTTTGTTTAATAAATTTAAATATAATTTAAAAATATATTTATAATTTAAAAAATAAATTCTAAAATTCAATGTATATATATATATATATATATATATATATAAATACAATTTTAAAATTTTTTTTTGAAATTCTTACTTAAAATATTAAAAAGTATAAAGAAACTAGTCTCCATTGAGGTACCAAAAAAGATATTTTTTTTATCAATTTAAAATGACATATCATCCTTTAATGAAAGTTAATGATCATTGTTTATATTTTACAAAATATAAAATTTAATCTTATTTTATAACTTTTAAAAAAATAAATGACTAAAAAATAATTGATCATTTATAATTTTATCCTATTTTCACTTTATTAGTGATATATTTTAACATATCACTTTAGTAATGTATTTCGGTGTGCGATGTGCACCGCATCGTACAACTTTCCCCATTTAAACTTCGAAACTGATTATTGTTTCACGACCAGAGGACAGTCCAGTCCAATTAATGACCCAATTAAAAGAATGCCGGATATGGGAAGCCCATCACGAAATCGATAAGAGCTATTAATGGCTTCACTTGAGCTGATGTACCGATTTTAAGCCAAAAAGCCAAGTCGATATGCCTAATTGTACAACCTTTCAAGAGCAAACACCCTTCTATCTCCCGAATTCCGAACAGAGTTTGAAACACCATCTATTATCAATTCAAATTGTACAATCTCAAGCGAAGAAAATGAAGGTCGCATGCCAACTATTACTTAACCACCTCCAGATTTGAGCGTATTACTTAACCTGCATAACAATTCAATGGCTCAATTGTGAGTAATAAATTTAAACCAAATTTCAACGGTTCAATCAATCAAATTGAACTTCCAGTTAAGGCAGCTTTACTGAAGCTTGCATACCAATCCGTACAGCTACTAATATACTACCAAAAATTATCAGTTCCCAGATCATGCTTCTAATTTATTAACGTTAACTTACCTAAATCCCATACTTGAAACTTGATGTTGCTGTATTGTACATGATGATCCGTGCCTTCCCTTTACGTGGTGCCAACTCGAACAGAACTTCGCTTTGTCAGAAAGGGTGCTAGATCGGTAATATTATGAGTGAGAGTTTTTGACGGGTAATTAATGGGTCTGAGGGTGATATTTCGATAAAAAAAGACATTTCTTTATGTTTCAATTATGTATCTCATTCGAATTGATTCAAGTTAATTCAAACAAATTATTTATTGTAAATATTAATTTGAATTAAAAAATAAATTTCAAATATCATTTTTAAATCAATAAATTTAATTTAATATATAATTAGATCAAAAATAAAAATCATGCACCAATTATGTATATAAGATCGAATTTAAAAATCAATTTTTAAAGATGCATGACGTCAATTGATTGATTAAATATAGCATATGAATAAAATTTTAATTTTATTATAATTTTAAATTTATATATACCGAAATTTTTAAATTAAAAACTAACTAAAAACTTTAGAGTTTAGACTAATTAAAAACAAATTAAAGTTGTCGGTGTAATTCATAACGAATTATGTGCTATCATTTATTAAATATTTGAATATTTTTATTTATTTTTAATAAATTAGTAAGTTATCACTCGTATGCATTGATAATGTACCAACATAAATTCAATTCAAGAAGATTTTCTTATTTGACGATATTTTAATAATTTGAAGAGAAAATTAAGAGAAAAAAAAAGAGAATGGATTGTTTAAGAATCATACTTGCGACAGAATAATCTTTCATTTCAGACAACCCTAAAATAGTGTCTATATCTGGAATCCAACACAGTGCCCATGACAAGGTGGGTGACGTTTCTCATCATTTTGATTCCTCTATTCCCATCATATTTTTGTATCATATCTCACTCCTTTTCTCCTCTTGTTTCTCAGCCGATTTGTGCTTGGCAAATACACCATCAGGGACTTGAGTAGTTGAACTTGCTTTGTTTTCTGGAACTTAGATGCGATTTGGGAAGAGAACTCGATTTTTTCTCATCAACATTTACATTTTCCGACTATCAAAATCG